AGGCAACCAATCGATATGTCTCTCACAGGTCGACTCTCTCTCTCTCTCATTCAGCCTAAAAAGTCAATGGGAAAAATAATCTCAGGTGAGGTTTAACAAAAAATAAAAACAGTCATTAGCGATCATTGAGCACTTAGCGAGCACTGTGCTAAGGGTTGGCACTTATGTAATCTTCCAACCCGTCCTATGAGGTGGGTTCTCTTTCTCCACAACACAGTAAGGGTAAAAACACTTTCAAAGTGCTTGAATGATTTCCCTTGTGAAGTATTTACAACTTTAACATCACACGCTCTTTGAACTTGAGAGAAAGCAACACACGCATGTGATTGGTGCCAGCGAGAGCTTCACATGTATCGTGCATGTGCAAGTCAACATTTGTTTTTAAATTGCCAGTGCGTGCCATATGTACCGGCTGGTTGGTCGGTCGGTTAGATGGACATATGGTCGGTCACTTAGCCTTTTATATATATAGATGTTAAAAGCCACTGACTTTGAGAACAGAAAACTTTCAAAGATTTTAATTGAGGTGTTCCTGGAGTGGAACAGCTGAGAATTTTTATTGTTTGTGGATTTAAGGTTTTATCCATCCCAGATACACCTATATTGGCATTTCAGTGATAAAAGCAATTTAATAGTAATACATACCTTCCTCGAAGGGGCCTCTTAGAGCTGGCTCCCCTGCCTCCTGATTAATGACGCTTATTTCTCTCTTTGACATAATTGCATGTGTAATTTTGAGAATTCAATGAACCCCACAGAAGGCAGGTTTCGAGTTCTTCAAAAATTCCTACTGTTAACATCAATGGGACACAGGAAATAGTTTTGCATACTACTGTTTGCACAAGGAGACGGGAAGAAAACATCTAATCAACAAAGTGGGAAAACAAGATTTGGACAGATACGCACAACAATCCTATCACTTCTGCCCAAATATTGTATCAAACCATCTTTTCTGGGATAACAATTTTGTCAGTCCAAGAACACATTAGCTCAGTCAGATCTGGACTCTCCCAAGGTTTTTGCCAGCGGCTCTGCTTACTGGTAAATAAGCAATGAGATTTTGCCTAGCAACCCCACCTTGGAAACACAGCTTGATTCCCTAAGTGTTGGGAGAGGTGGGGGCGGGGCGAGGAAAGCCACGCCCGCCTCTCAGGTCCCTCTGCCGCGGGTTCCTGATGTCACCAACATTATCTGCAATTCTTGGCAGTTTCAGAAGGATGATCAAGCTCTAGGGGGAAATTAATTGAAAGGCAAATAAAAACTGCTTTCAAGATTGTGAGCTAAAACCATCTGGCAGCTCATTCTGGAGTCAGCATAGAAGAACCAATGAAGACTTTTCTCTGATTGAAAATGAAGTAATTACATGAGAAAGTGTATCCAGGAAGGGACGACCAACAGTGACCTCCTAAGCTAAACAAAGATGATCTTGAGCCAGCCCTGAGGGAACGTGCCTCAATAGCAAAGGGCAGCATCCAGTCTGGGACTGTCCACATCGAAGGAAATATTTGAACTTTGACATAAAAAACAGTTGCCCTGGCTGGTGTGCTCAGTGGTTAGAGTGCCAGCCCACACACCAAAGGGTGATAGTTTTGACCCCCAGTCAAGGGCACATGCCTAGGTTATAGATTTGATCCCCAGACCCGGTTGGGGAGAGTGCTGGAGGCAACCAATCGATATGTCTCTCACAGGTCGACTCTCTCTCTCTCTCATTCAGCCTAAAAAGTCAATGGGAAAAATAATCTCAGGTGAGGTTTAACAAAAAATAAAAACAGTCATTAGCGATCATTGAGCACTTAGCGAGCACTGTGCTAAGGGTTGGCACTTATGTAATCTTCCAACCCGTCCTATGAGGTGGGTTCTCTTTCTCCACAGAGATAAGGTGCACAGAGGAGTTGAGACACTTGTCGGAGATCTCTCAGCTGTTTAGCAGTGGGGACAGGATGTGTCTAGGCAGGCAGTCTGCCCCTAGACTCCAGATCCTCAAACACCACTTTATAGTATATCTAACAGTTGCAGGGGCCAACCAGACTAAGAAGCCCAAGATCGCCATCCTAATTTCTGACTTAGCAGGTGTCTCACAAACATTTAATTCGCTTTAATTTCATTATGCGTTTGAGGAGGACGACTTATAAGTGGGGCGGGGAATGGTGTTCCCATTGCCAGTAGTTAATTAACCTCTGGTAAGATCTCTTTTGGGGCTCTGGATTTTTGCTCATGTCTGCAAACAAAACTAGGCTAATCATAACGACCTTCCTGGATTCTCAGAGGGGCTCAGCTGCCCCCACCGAGTCCTCCTATAATAGCCAACATGGAAATTCATACAATGGGTGAAACATTCCCAGGGGTTCTCAGGTAATTTATCCTGACATGATACTTTTATTTGTGGGGGAAAATGGTATTTCATGTACAGTTTCGAAAATATCAATAAAATATCTTTTTTTTTCCCAGATGGCTTTTCTGAGGGATGGGCACGAACCCAATTATTGTTCCCTGTTCTACATACTGAGTCTCCCCTGGGGAGTTAGGGCACATGACTTTTTTTTATAAAGAAGGATTGTAGTTTTGTAGCTTTTCTTATGCATGTTTAGGGAATATATATTGATCCGGGAACTGGAGCGTAAATAGTGCTGACTTAGATTGGTGCAGATAATATTCTCCACTATAACTGTTCTTACTCATTTCATTGCCCTCTCCATTCTGCTATGTTGACTATACCTGGGACTCGGGACCCTAGTCAAGTGGGGCTGCTTTTTCGGGGGAGTTGATTACAGGCGTGTGCAGCTTCCCCCCTCTTCAGCTCTTGTTCATTGGAGCTTTCCAGTGAAGAGGCAGCACCGATGTTTCTCCCCAAAAATCAGCAAGGAAGAGAGGGATGGGAGGAAGGGACACAGAACCCTAATCAGCCTTCCCGGCTCTGAGACCTAGTCATTTCCTTGGCTGTCATTCTGGGGTGGAGCCACGTGGCCGATGGTAGGAGAATCTCTTACCCATGTCTGTCCTGGGAAACCTGGCCCAGGTGTCACTGCCGGGACGGAAGCTTCGGAATTCCTGAACAGGTGGTCCAGCCACAACTTTGTATTCTCCATCTTCCTTCCCAGAAGGGAACTGGGTGGCCTCTTCCTCGTGGAGGCTAGTCTGGTTTCTGTTGTTAGGGGACGACTCTGGCAACTTTGTTTGAGCTAGTGAGCTGTTGAATGACTTGAAAAGCTGTTTCTGGACTCTTTTCATTACTCCCTGGACTGAGTTAATCACCTCAGAATCCTATTCTCAGCTCTGCCCTTAATTAGCAGCAGCATCTATGCAAGCCCCTTCACCCCTTTAGCTTCTGTTTTTGCATCTGGAAGTGAGGTTTCTGAGTGCACGGGTCCCTGCACTCTGAGCCGTCTGCCTCCTAATTCACCGGGAGGCAATGGCTGGAAAAAAAGATCACCTGGTAAGGATTTCCTGCACCGACTGCTCTCCACGTGGTGGACTTCTGCAGAAAATCAATCCAGGCAGTGTGGCAAGGCCCGGGCATTCTGATTTATGATGGCGTATTGTTTTGGTGAGGTAATTATACTAGGGTCTCCCGAAGACAGTCTCCGGTGCCAATTCCAGCAGCTTTGAGACCTTCGGGATCATTCAGCTTGGAGGCAATGCCAAGGTTGTCGAGTATGCATTCAAGGGGAACACCACGGATGCCTCTAACCCACCTCTGGCCTCCATCAGTGTCCTTCCCCTTCCAAATGCACTTTGACCTCTTCACTGTTGACTCCTTCAAAAGCTGATGTGAGCTGACATGCCTGCTACCCATTTTAGACAGGGACCCTGCCATCCTGACTTCAACTCCTGGCCCAACCCTTGTGGGTGATACAGCAGCAAACACAATGACCACAGCACAGCTTAGACACGTGTATTTAAAGGAAAAGTATAACTGTCCGACCTCAGCCGGGGAAGGAGGGTGAGGACACACATAGAGACTTGCCTAGGGTCTGTCACAAATGTGAGTGGGGATGGCTGTGTTTTTTCTCTTCAGCCCAACATTCTGGCCTGTTTTCAGGTCAGTTTTTTTGGTGTTGTGTTTGGTTTGGGTTTTTTGTTTTGTTTTGTTTTTAGAGGGGGTGGGGGGTTAGCAGCATCACCCCTTTGACGCAAGGGAAACTAGGGAGAGACCCTCACCAGCACTGTGGAGAGCCCCAAAACCGGCCGCCATGAAGACTGGCAGCAAGCTCCTCTTGGGAGTTCGTTACATTTTCCATCAGTGAGGAGGGGAGACCAACGCCTGGTTGCACTCATGAGCCACGCAGAGGGCAGCTGAGGTCAGAGCCCAGTGGGCTTCCTTGGTAGAGTCCATGAACCGGCTTCCTGGGGCCTGGGAAGCACCCAGAACACCTGAAAACACCTGCGTGTGCATTCTTGTAGGAGAAGGTCCATGGCTTTCATCAGATTCTCTCACTGCTGCCCCTGGCCGAAGGGAGGTTAAAAGCCACCAACAATTTTGCTCATTAGAATCCACACATGAGTGAAATCATATAGTACTTGTCCTTCTCTGACTGGCTTATTTCACTTAACATAATGCTCTCTGGGTCCATCCATGCTGTCGCAAAGGGTAAGATTAACTAACAAAACAGAAACAGACTCATAGAGAACAGACTGACAGCTGTCAGAGGGGAGGGGGTGCGGGGCAGGGTGAAAAAGGGGAAAGGATTAAGCAAAAAATAAAAACTCATACAGACAACAGTACGGTGATTATTACAGGGGAAGGGCAGAGGGAGGGGGAGGTAGAAGAAGAGGGTAAAGGGGGGGAGTAAAGGGTGATGGAAGGAGACTTGGGATGGTGAACACACAATATACAGATGATATATTTTAGAATTGAACACCTGAAACCTCTATGATTTTATTAACCAATGTCACCCCAATAAATTCAATTGTTAAAAAGCCTCTGACAGAATACATTTTCTTCTGTATCTCTGGCTCCAGGGCAATGAAACTGACTTGTCATTCTCCTTTGCTGTTCCCAGAAAAAGCAAGTGAGTCAGACCAAGATCCGGGTCATCTCCACCATCCTGTTCATCCTGGCCGGCTGCATCGTGTTTGTGACGATCCCTGCCGTCATTTTCAAATACATCGAGGGGTGGACGGCCCTGGAGTCCATTTACTTTGTGGTGGTCACTCTCACCACGGTGGGCTTTGGCGACTATGTGGCAGGTGAGCACCCCGGGCATCCCAGTCACCAGGGCCCCCGTGGGTGGTGGAGAGATTGTTGGCAGTGCTTTTCAACACCATGAGCAAAGGAGTTGTGAGAGAAGCGAACGACAAAAGCCCAGTATCCCCGCTGCTGTCCACCGGCTCATTTCAAGGCCGTGGTCCTCTGTGATCTAAGCAGCATCAGGCTCCTGCCGTGAGAGGGAAGGCAGCCTCTTCCTCCCAGGATGCATAGCGCCCTTATCGTCATATGAATTATGCATGAGTGAAATGAATTTCTCATTGAAGTTGGGGCTTCTGAATTGTATTAAGGCTCCTTGGATCCATCGATAAAGGCTATATTAGCAAGCAGCAAATGTGAAACCCTGAAGAGATTAGCACAGAGCTGAGCCTGCAAGGATCTGCAGCTTAAGCTTCCTGCCACACCTGAGGTGAGGGCCGTTGTCCCTGCAAAAGTTGTCCAGGGTGTGCCCACAAGGCTTAGGACTCAGTTGATAACTGAGAGCTGAGAGCTGCCCCCTGAGGGAACAGAGTGTTAACAGATTCTGCATGAATGTGGACAGAAGCAATAGCCTTCAGTGTGAACATAAATGCCCATGGGCTGGGTTTATGGAAGCCAAAGAAAACCACCATCACGCTCCTCTAGGGACAGAGAGAGCTGAAAATGAGGTGGGACCCGGCCTCTTACAAGTGCCTACCACTTTCCCAGAGTGTGGTAGGAAGGCAGGAACAGGAGGAGGCGGCCACCCTATCCCCTCTTAATGGGGTAGTTCCAGGGAGCCAGCCCACTGACCGATCCTTCTTTACTCCAAGAAGTGAGTGCTTTGCGTGAACACCTCCATCGTAAGTTCAAAATGGTGGGTGGTCTATGTGGCCTTGACCAGTCCCCAGGTCAGCAGCAGCCTGGACAGCTCAGGGGTGCACTCCCAGGCCGACTGTCCTTCATTTGGCATTTGATCTTGGCTGTGCCTTGGCATCTCCATGGCATATGGTGCCCATGACAACAGGGACCTGGTCCTTGGGAATCTGGGAAACAGGAGAGTCTGGGGAGGTGGGTGTGGAGGCTCCTCAACAGGTCAGTTCTGTGATACAGATAACCAGCACAGTGACCTTGTAGCTACTGCAACCGGCCAGGCTAAGATTGATGTCCCCGCTGTAGAAATAGCAGTTTCAATCTGTCTTCCTTTCTATTGACTAAGGGCTAAGAATTGCAACGTTGAAGTGATTGAGCATTGTGTATAAAAGCCTGGGAGCCCATCAGTCTTTCCTTATGCACAGCGCTCAACCCCTTGTGCAATTCCTCACCTCGGGGGACAGTCCCCTGGTGCCACCTGACTAGGGGCCTGACACAGAGAAGCAGAGAAAAGGAAGAGGAACGGTTGTCCAGTTAATTCCTTAGCATCCTCCAGAGCTGGTCTGTGGGAAAACTCACCTGATGTCCCAATTAAGGCTGTCATGGCAGCTGGCGTTTGGAACCATTTCACAAACATCTTTCCGTTCCCCCCAAGCGTAGTTTGCCTCAGAGCACTGTGCTAACCCCGGACTGCCTGCTAGAGGGCCCTGCTCTAATATTGTTCAGTTCAATCTGTCCATCTGCTCATCTGGGGCGCAGATAGCAGAGCCCTGGGAACATGAGATTTTAAAACTTCATGGCTTGTATTTATTTGTGTTAGGCACCATGGACTGTGAGCACTTAGCACAGACCAGCACTTGACCTTACCTTTACTTACCTAGGAAGGGCGTGACCTCCTTAGTCAAAGGCATGGTCCTGTTTCAATTCCCTTACTAACCACTGAGTACAGAGCTGTATTTCCTCTGTCCTGAGGTCTTCACAGATAGGGATCTCTTATCACAGAGCCAGCTGCAATTAGGCCAGGCCCTTCTCCAGTTCCCAGGTCCGAAGAATGCATGCCTTAAAAGACCGGAAGCTTTTCACAACCTTTTTGGCAATGCTCTCAGGGTGACAGGGAAGGATGCCCGGTTGTTTAAAAAGGTGTACTAACAAGAGTTGATGGTTGCTGTGACTGAACAAGGTATCAACTCTATTAAAAATATAACCGGAGCACCGATCACCACACAGGTTTCAGTGCTGGTTTACTGGGCAGCTGACTCACTTTAGGACAGAGAACATTATAGCATTTCACAGCTCTGACTGGGAGCACAGGGAAAGCCCCAAACTCTGGGCAAGCCTCTGATAAAGAGGGAGAAAGGTGATTAATGTGCTGCTCGATAGCGCACCCTAGTGACAATCCTGTTGGCTGATGGTGACTAGACTGGCTAAGGTAAATATTTGCTCTCAGATAATAGCCCCAAGGAGAAAGCTCAAAAACCACTTAATGTTGCATGAACTCTAGTAGCATCCTAGAAAAAGCTGCACAGGGTGTGTGTGTGTGTGTGTGTGTACATAAAGAGGAAAAATAAAGCCAGCTAAACCAAACCACCAAACAGAGGGGGTCTGGAGCCCTTTAGCAATGTTTGGAATTCTAATTTTAATAAATGGCAGTGGCTGTTGAGATCTCATGGGCTGCATTGAAAAGTGGGTTGCCAGAGGAGAGGAGGATTAGAGGACTGGGAGAAAGAGGTGAAGGTGTTAAGAAGAACAAATTGGTAGTTACAAAAGAGTCACCGAGATGTAAAGTACAGCATAGGGAATACAGTCGATAATATTGCAATAACTATGTATGGGTATCAGTCGGGTATTAGAAATATTGAAGGGAACACAGTAAAGTACATGATTGTGTGACCATTAAGCTATACACCTGAAACCAATGCAAAATAATATTGAAAATAAGCCATAATTGGAAAAAAATATTTGAATATATTTTTATTGATTTCAGAGAGAGGAAGGGAGAGGAAGAGGGAGATAGAAACATCAATGATGAGAATCATAATTCGGCTGCCTCCTGCACGCCCCCTATAGTAGGAGATCAAGCCCGCAACCCGAGCACGTGCCCTGACCGAGAATCGAACTATGATCTCCTGGGTTGTGCATTGACACCAAACCACTGAGCCACACTGGCAGGCTGAAAAACATTTTTTAAGTGGGTTTGGTTGCATTGAGAAGAACCACAGGCCATAGCACCTGGCCCGCTGCTGCTATGATGCCGTAAAGAGTTCAGTATGGACTCAGTGATCTAGATGAGGTTACAACCATGACCCAGTGAGAAAGACTAGTTATCACTCATCATGTAATAGCATAACTACCGGTACAGAGCTAATGTCAATTGTTTTAGGAATCACCACCTGCCTGGTTCATTGGGTAACACATCTCACAGAGTGAGAACGAGGCTGACATCAGTTATTTCATGGAACGTCCTCACTTCTTTCAGTGGGGGGGCTGGGCTTGGAACCTATTTTGCTCGATTGCCTTTGGCAGTGCCTAAAGGAAGGCTAGAATAAATAGTCTCATTATTTGGAACAAATGACTGGTCGGTTCAATGCAACAACCATTCAATGCAATCAGGCAACTGGCCCATTTGGGTTGATGGATTTTTCCTGTAATCTCTATTTATAACAAAGGGATTGACTAGCTGGCCTTAAAGGTCCCATTTAGTTCTAGCGTGGCTGTGGTACTTCTAATTACTCAGTTTAATTGACCCTTTGGATTAGCATCATGTAAACCCCAGCCTCAGCATTAAATCACTATGGCTTGCATCAAAGTGTCAGGAATGCCATAAAGTCTAAATTTTCACTTAGCTCTTGGTAGATGCGTGTGCGCTTAAGAAGGAAACAGTTTCATGACTTCCAAACCATGAGGGATGATTTAATGGTGTGTGTTTTTTATTTGTATTACATTTAAAGACGTTTAAGAAAAAACAATTGACAACTGGGCCTGATCTGTTGTCCTCTAGCTCTGGTCATTCACTGTCAAGCTCAGGGAGAGAATAGGTGGATCAAGTTGGCCACAGGCATATTTTTGCTGTGGGTACTATGGTTAGTGGTCAAGAATCACAGGGAGTTCAGCCACAAGTCAGGCTCCTTTAGGAACAGGAACATCTTTTCCTTGTCTTCCAACCCCCACCACATCTCCTATACAGCAGGCCTAACGTCTTAGTGTTAGATGGTGATGGGCTGGCATCTCCGCTACATGGACCAGAATATGTTTGCTCCACAAAGACCCCGTGCTAGACCCTGCTTCCAGTAACATTTCGTTGTTTTCAGGGGGAAATGCTGGCATCAATTACCGGGAGTGGTATAAGCCCCTCGTGTGGTTTTGGATCCTTGTTGGCCTGGCCTACTTTGCAGCGGTCCTCAGTATGATCGGAGATTGGCTACGGGTTCTGTCCAAAAAGACAAAAGAAGAGGTAGGACCCCTTCCAGCTTCTACGAATGTTCCTGAGATTAGATGAGCTGGTGTCAAGAATCTCCTCTCTCTGTTCTGTGGGCTGGAGTGTTTCTTACTCAATGGAGGGCTCACAAGGCTTCCTTGTTTGGGATCATTACCTAAAAGCCAAGTGAAATTGAATAGCAATTACTTCGGATCCTTTTTTGGCAGGTGAGGAAATCTGGTGACTCAGTCACCAGCCCACAGATCCTGCAAAGAATAGTAAACAGCAACTTCGTTTTAAAAAATGGAATGAAAAGGAAAATATAGAACTAGTCAGCAGAGGTGGACTGTGGTCGAGGGAGGTGTGCAATTGCCCCCTATCAGCAAATGTATGGGGAGGCTTCGAAAAATCATCAAAAGCTTCAGAAAGCCCGCCTGTCCTTCAGGTCACAGGGCCTGAATGGAAATGCACTTGAACATCATGAATCTTCCCTGATTCTTAGTGAGACAGAAATCACTGAGCAGTGGCCAGCCCCGGGGAAGCGAACCCAAGGGGCCCTTTCACCTGTACCCCCTCCTGGTGGTCCCATCTGTAAAAAGAAGTATACCTCAGAGCACGCAGCCTTTACTCCCGCAGTTAAATGTGCGTGCAAGCCTACACAAAGACGAGAAAAGGAAAGTCTAGGAAGGAAAGGTAGTTTCTTTGTGAGTTTAAAAAACAAAAGTCCATGTAGTTCTTCTAGGAAGAGGGGAAAAGAAATAAGAACGGAGGAGGCAAGGGAAGGGGAAGGGAAGAAGTAAAGAAAGGAAGGGAGATTTAAAATCCTTGTTTGGGATCATTACCTAAAAGCCAAGTGAAATTGAATAGCAATTACTTCGGATCCTTTTTTGGCAGGTGAGGAAATCTGGTGACTCAGTCACCAGCCCACAGATCCTGCAAAGAATAGTAAACAGCAACTTCGTTTTAAAAAATGGAATGAAAAGGAAAATATAGAACTAGTCAGCAGAGGTGGACTGTGGTCGAGGGAGGTGTGCAATTGCCCCCTATCAGCAAATGTATGGGGAGGCTTCGAAAAATCATCAAAAGCTTCAGAAAGCCCGCCTGTCCTTCAGGTCACAGGGCCTGAATGGAAATGCACTTGAACATCATGAATCTTCCCTGATTCTTAGTGAGACAGAAATCACTGAGCAGTGGCCAGCCCCGGGGAAGCGAACCCAAGGGGCCCTTTCACCTGTACCCCCTCCTGGTGGTCCCATCTGTAAAAAGAAGTATACCTCAGAGCACGCAGCCTTTACTCCCGCAGCTAAACCTGCGTGCAAGCCTACACAAAGGCAAGAAAAGGAAAGTCTGGGAAGGAAAGGTAGATTCTTTGTGAGTTTAAAAAACAAAAGTCCGTGTAGTTCTTCTAGGAAGAGGGGAAAAGAAAGAAGAACGGAGGAGGCAAAGGAAGGAGAAGGGAAGAAGTAAAGAAAGAAAGGGAGATTAAAATAAATAGATACATACATACATACATACATACATACATACATAGGTAGGGGCAGCCTCTTGAAGAAAGCTGTGTACTTCCCGGGTACAGCCATTCTGTATGCAAGGGTCCAGGAGAAGGTTGCTGAGTGGAGAAACTTGCCCTCTCACTCCTGGGCACAATGTCGGTTCTCCTGGCCTCCAGAACCCTAGCAATGCAGTCTCCGCCCAGTCTGACCCCCCAGGTAGCTAACTGGCCTGCTAACAATCAGCTATAAGGAAAGAGAAAGTACCACATACACACTGACTTTCCTCAGTGCCCAAAGCTGAGTTCCTCATCCGTCTAGGAAAACATGGGACTTGTGCTATTTGCCGTGCCGAGTAAGAGCCCAGAGATCTGATAATGAGCTTCATGCAGAACTGGACTCTGAGCTCGCCCCCTCCCTGCTCCCTCACCGGGGCAATTGGGTTACCCGGTGCCCTGGGGGGGTCTTCTTAAACCAGGATGAGCCTGACAGCACATGGCCACAGCATGGCCCACATGCAGGGCGACCACAGCCCCAGCTTGCCCAGGGCTGAGGGCGGACCTAGGATACAGGACTCTCCCTTTTAAAACCAGGACAGTCCCGGGCTGACTCGGGACAGGCTGGTCACCCTCCCCAGAGAGGCGTCGGGGGGACGAGGAAGAGCAAAGGACCTTCTGAACATCTGCTCCGTGCCCAGGACTGAGCTAGTGCACGTCTTTCTCTGACATAACACTAAAAACCATCAGCTAGAGGTGACTACCCCAGTAATGTCCCAGGAATGAGACCATCCTGTGAAAAGGCGGTGGGCACATCACGGGAACCCTGCACGCCTGTCCAACTCAGCCCGCTGCCCTCTCCCCCACAATGCCGCCCGCCTCTCCCCCAGGCCCATCTCCAAATCCCAAGCCTCCCTTGCTCCCCAGCACAGGCCCCTTCCTGAGCCACATAAGCCAGGAGCCCATTAGAGACGGGTACTTAGGCGAGAGAGACCAGGGCAGAGGCAGCGTCCACCTCTCGCCCTGGGCGTTTGCAGCGCCCACTCTGGGCCTTCCCGTGGGGGACACTCCAGGGCGGTGGGCGCTGGGGGGCACCGGGCAGAGCGCAATCTCTCAGCGGGCTGTTGCCCTTTCTGTGTCCCGCCAGGTGGGGGAGATCAAGGCCCACGCGGCCGAGTGGAAGGCCAACGTGACGGCCGAGTTCCGGGAGACGCGGCGGCGGCTGAGCAG